TCAATATCTCCTCCCTCCCCTTTGTTCCTTGTGGTACCCGTAAATTCTTTTACTAAGTCCAAGATTTCTTCCTGCTGTGTTTTGCCTGTATATTTTTGTTGGTGTTGTTACTTATAGTCCATAGATGGGTGAAACTATCTGATATCTGTTTTTTCACTTTCTGACTGTATTCATTCAGCAAAGTCACCTCACAGTCCATCCATTTTGTCCTAAAAGATGCTACTTCATCTTTTTAAATAGCTGTGTAGTATTCCATTGAATATATATTATACAACTTCTTTACCAGTTTGTCTGTTGAGAGACACACACAGGTTAGTTCCATGACTTAGCAGTTTGTGGACAGTGCTGTGACATAGACATACATAAATCTTTTGTATTAGAGTTTTCTTTTTTTTTCTGATAAGCATCAAAACAATAAGAAGTATTGTCATTATGTAGAATTTCTATTTTTCTTTTCTTTTCTTTTCTAAAGATTTATTTATTTATTTATACAAGCACTGGGTACAGTCAGAAGCACAGGAGGGTGAGAGAATTCACCAGAGCCAGAGCAGGGAGCAGAACAGGCAGACTGATGAAACACACTGCTGTGGGGAGCAGCAGACGCTGCAGGAGAGGTCTGTCACACCATGTGGCACCCTCGCCCAGTGGCCGGGGATCGAACCAGCACTGCAGAGGCTGCAGGCAGCTTCACAGCCCAGCGCTCAACTGCTGCGCCACCAGGAGAGACCCTAGTTTTATTTTCTTAAGAAATCTCCAGACCCATTTTTCATAGAGGAGCCACCCACTTGCATTCCTACCAACAGTGGATAAGAGTTCCTTTTTCTCCACATTCTCACCAATATTTGTTGTTTCTATTCTTTTGATATGGGCCATTGTCACAGGGGTCAGTTGCTATCTTGTTGTGGTTTTGATTTGCACTTCCCTTGTAAGTGATATGAACAATTTTTCATGTCTGTAGATCATCTGAATGTCTATGTTAGAAAAATGTCTGAGTCTTTTGCCCGTTTTTTGATTGGTTTGTATGTTTTTTGTTGTTGGATTATATAAATACTTTGTATATTTTGGAAATTAGCTCCTTGTTAGATGTGTGATGTGCAAATATTTTTTCCCATTCTGTAGGTTGCTTTTTATGTTGTGATGGTTTCTTTTGATGCACAAAAACTTTTTACCTTGATGTGGTCTCACTTGTTTATTTTTGCCTTTGTATTCCTTGTCATTGGAGTTGAATCTCCAAATTCATCTTTGTGATGGATGTCCTATGGTTTGTGCCCTGTTTTCTTTCATGTATTTTATGATTTTGGTTCTTATATCCAGATCTTTAATCCATTTTGAATTAATTTTTTTGTATGGAGTTAAGTATGGACCTAGTTTTATTTATTTATTTTTTTGCATGTGGTGATCCATGTTTCCTAAAGCCATTTGCTAAAAAGACTATTTCCTCCATTGTATGGTTGTGGTGGCTCCATTGACAAAGATTAACTGCCCATTTTTGTGTGAGTTAATTTCTGAACTTTATATTCTATTCCATTGATTTGCATTTCTGTTTTTGTTCCACTATAATACTGTTTTGTTACTGTTCTTGTGTGATATAGCTTGAAGTCAGGAAATCCAATACCTCCATTTTTCTTCTTTTCTCTAAGGATTGCTTTAGCTGTTTGGGTCATTTTGTGATTCCAAGTGAATTTATAATTGCTAAATCCCAATTGGGGTTTTGGGATTTTGGTAAGTACTATGTTGAATCTGTAAATTTTTTTTTAATTTTTATTTATTTATTTATTTTATTTTTATATTCCTGTATAAATTCCTGTATAATATTTTATATTTATACAGTTGCAACCCCCTTATTTTGACCCCAACCCCTCCTTTCCCCGCTCCCCACCCCCCATAGTGTATCTTTGGTTCATAGTTGTTTGTTGATTTTGTGAATCTATAAATTGTTTTAAGTAATATGGCAGTTTTAATGATTCTTATTGTTCCAGTCCTTGAGTATGGGGTTTCTTTCCATTTATTTGTGTCTTCTTATACCAGTGTCTTATAGTTTTCAATAAGAGGTCCTCACCTCTTTCATTAAGTTTACTCCCAGGTGTTTCATTCTTTTTGGTGTGATTGTAAATGGAATTGTCTTCCTTATTTCCCTTTATTCTGATACATTGTTTTCATATAGAAATGCCACTGATTTTTGTGTATTGATTTTGTATTCTTCCACTTTACTGTATTTATTATTTACAGTAGTTTTGGTAGAGTCTTTTGGTTTCTCGTTTTTTTTTATGTCACAAATAATGACAGTTTCACTTTATTTTTTCCATTTGGATTACTTTTGACTTTTTCTTGCCTAATTGCTTCATCTAGGACAATAGTGGTGACAGTGATAGCCTTGTTTTGCACCTGGCTAAATGCTTTCTGCTTTTCACCATTGAGTTTGATGTTTCCTGTTGGTTTGTCATAGATGGTTTTTATAATGCTTAAACATGTTCCATTTATTTTCATTTTCATTTTGTTGAGTGTTTTTATCATAAACCGTTGTTGAATCTTACTGAATGCTTTTTTGGCAGCTGTTGAAATGATCGTGTGATTTTTATCTTTTTGTTGAGAGAATTTTTGGGATATTGGTCTATAGTATTTTTTTTTTTAAAGATTTATTTTATTTATACAAGAACCGGGGTACAGGCCAGATGCACGGGAGGGTGAGAGTATTCACCAGAGACAGAGTTAGGAACAGAAACAGGCAGCCTGACGAAATATACTGCTGAGTGGAGCAGCAGGTGAGACAGGAGAGGTCTGCTCACCATGCCATGTGGGTTGCTCCGAGGCCCTTGGGGAATGAACCGGCACTGCAGAGGCTGCTGACAGCTTCACAGTGCTGCGCTCAACCGCCTGCGCCACCAGGGAGGCGCATATAGTTTTGTTTTTTGTACTGGCTCTGGTTTTGGGCCTCATAGAATGTGTTGGGGAGTTTTCTTCCTTCTGCGATTTTTTTGAAGAGCTTGATTAGGTTAGGCATTGGGTTCTCTTTGCAAGTTTGGTAGAATTTACTGGAGAAGTCGTCTGCTCCTGGAATTTTGTTCTTAGGAAGACTTTTTATTACCATTTCAATTTCTGCGCTTGTGGTTAGAATGTTTAAGTTTTCTATTTCATCCTGACTCCATCCTGGTACATTGTAGTGAGCTAAAAATTTGTCCATTCATTCTAGGTTGTATTGTTTGTTTGCAGACAGTCACAGTAGTTCTTATGATCCTGTGTATTTCTGCAGCATCTGTTGTAATTTCACCTCTTTCATATGTGATTCTACTTTTTGGGGTTTTCTCTCTTCTTCCTAAGTCTAGCTAAGGGCCTGCTGACTTTTACTTTTTCTCAAAGATCCTATATATAGCATTTAAATGTATGACAGTGAGAGTTCTAAGAGAGTGTGGCAAGTGGAAAGTAATTTGGAGAAGGACTGGCCTTAGAAAGAACACCTGGAATGTGTGGTGTTAGCAATTAAGGATTTATGGGCATCCTGGAAAGGTAAAGATATGGTTTCTAACACATTAAATTTTAAGAAATATACACAAAAATGAGAAGAACTTTTAGAGGACAGACGAAGTGCTTGAAGGGTTCTTAAAAGGAAGATATTAACCTGCCTAACAAAGAAATGATGATAACTAATTACACTAGCCTAGGAATATAATTACTCTTTGTTGTGATACTATTGGAGATTTGGATTTTTGATAAAGTTGAGAAGTAATTAACTTTTTAAAAGTGTAAGGTGGTACTTGAAGTAAATTTTTTTTTTTTTTGGAAGGGCAGCCCCAGAGTAATGGTGTTTAGTGTCACCTAATGGCAAAGTAAGATATTGCAGCCATATTTGTATGAGGCCATGAACAAAGGAACTTAATTAGAAGGTGAAAAAGAACATTTCTGGGGTGAAAAAGAACATTCATGTCTCCATGAATCAGCAGACATCCTTTCAGAAGTTCTGTGCTCTTTATCCCTGGCCTGCTTCTCCTACCCCTCTTATCATGTTACATCTTTGGTCACTGGGAAGATTGTCTAATATATAGTTCTTGTTTGTGTTTCAAGTTTCTCTTTCCTCCCACCTTTCTTAAAGTTGTTGGTACAATTTCCTTGTTATTCTTTGTCATATCAACCTGTTTTATTTACTTCATAGCCTTTAGAGTGCTTTGAAATCACCTTATTCGCTTACTTTCTTGTTTCCCCATAACTTGTATGCTTCAAGAGAGTAAGCAACCTATCTGTCTTAGCACTCAGGACTCCCCAGTGCTGAGTACTATGTAGTTTACATGGTCAGTTAAATTAGTTGTGTGAATATTTTAACTTCCGAAAATGATAATGTTGAGATCTACCCAGAAAACAGAATTGCGCTGTATTTGACTTTTGAAACATTGTTTGCTATATAAATGCAATTGTAAGCTTTTGTCTCCTGGCGAATGCCTCCCCTCAACTCCCCTCAACTCTATGCTGGTAACTGGTAATGTGTCTGGAAAAGGAAAGATACATGGTTTAGAGTATTGAATTCTATATTAAATAGTCAACTTTTAAGCATTATTTTAAGGTACAATAGTTGGTCTTGAGGAGATAAGTTTTTGGAAATACTTAATTGTAATTTCAGTGAATATATTTTCTTTATGTGGATTTGTAGATACTTTCCAGTAGCATGCTTATTTATTTCTTTTATTAAAAAGAACAGAAACAGTTTTTTTTTTTTTGAGAAACAGTCAAATAGTAAATTTGTTTAGTTCAGAAATGGGTGGGTTTTTATGTTGCTTTTCACAGAACAATGTGGTTCTTTTAGTTTGGAAACTCAGGTGAAGAGAATACATTTCCATTATGTGGTTCAGTCCAAGAAAGTAGTCTCCCTAGTTTTGAGAGCATTGCTTAGCCAGCAGAATTCTTTACATGACACATTTTTAAAGACTGAGGATTGACCAAGTGCTTATTATTAGTTCATGATTTTAGTCAATAGTTTTTTTTTTTTAATAAATTCTTGTGGTTTTGATCAGGTGGATGTGGAAAGAGAAGTTTGCAGAACTGAAATGGAGGTCAGAGCTTCATTACAGAAAGTTACTGGGTCATCAGATTCGGTAGCTACACTGAACAGTGAAGAATTTGTTTTGGTTCCTCAGCATGCAGATGATACTTCTACAAAAGATGATGAAAAACCACAGCTGAAGGTATTTTTTTATCCTACAAATAATATATTTTCAATTATTGTTTATTTAAAACTTGGTGAAACTTATCTTAGGAGATATGGAAAATTCAAAGGTTTTTCTTAAGTACTGACTTTGAGGATAGGATCAGCTAATTATTTGGCTTGTGTATCTTAAAGTTTTGCTTTAGCTCTTTATCTTTTAATTCAGAATTTTAGAATGTCAAAATAGAAGAGAAAAAAAGAAGAGTAAGAATAGTTAATGAATTAGATTTAATGGTTAAATCTTCCATAAATTTAATTTATTTGAATATATTGTCTCTCATTTGCTGGATTTTAAAAGTTGTGTTACTTTTTCTTCAGAGACTTTTTTATTTTTATAGTTTTAATGTTTTTAAATCAGCTTGTGTTATTCTAGTAATATGATTTAATATTTGACTTGTTTGATTAGATTTTAAGAACATGTTATGTATTTTTAGTACATAATGTTTCCTCTGGATATGGTTCTTTTTCTTTCTCATTTTTATATTGCCTTTTCCTGAGCCAAAGGAAAAGACCCAAGCAAACCCAGAGAATTACATAGCCACCCTCTAGAAACAGGAATAGAAAACTTAGTCAAAAGAGGTACAAATTATTTATATTAACTGTTATTTCACAGGGATAGTAATATATCAAATAATGTTTTATAAAAATCAGATTATTAAATATCCTTTTACATTATATTAATGTTATCAATGACTTTACTAAATATTTAACCTTCTGGATTTAAGTAGATGGCTATTTAAATTTACTTAGATATTTATAGCTTATTTTCTTAAGTTTTGTGTTTCATCTGCTTTTAGAAAATGATAAGTCAATTTTAAATTTACGGAAGTTAGCAGTATTCCTCTAGACAGCCCTAAGCAAAATTTGTAATTGCCTGGAATTATGTTTGGAATTTGGAGATATTTTTATTCTGAGATAATAAGAAATATGATCTTTTAAATGCTATTAACTGTAGACCTATTTAAATATATACATTTTCCTTTAAAACATAAATTTAAGGTTACATGGTTTTTGGAATGTGTTCGTAAGAAAAAGAAAGGAAATCTCTGTAAATATTGGATGGTTTCACTTATAGAAGGAAGATAGGGGAACCAAATAAGACATTAGGGGAAAAAAATAATAACAATACAAAACAAAACAAAACTAAAACAAACACAAACAGACAATTATAAGCCAGAGACATCCTGCAAGGGAGGAGGAGGGAGAGGGATCAGAAGGAGGGAGGGAGAGAGGAGCACGAGGAACTGTGGTGATGGTGCACAGGTGAATTGGTGAAGGAAATTCTATGGGGACTATACCTGAGGGGGGGGGGAAGCAAACATTGTTTAAGAATGAACAATGATGTAAAATGTATATAAATAAAAAAAATACTATAAAAGATTTTAGATGTAGTTGTAAACTGCTTTAGATGGTTTTTGAAGAATCCTTTTCCAAAACTAATAATGCTCTAATATAATTTGCTTTATAATTCAGGATTTTGTAGTATGTCTGTGTGAAATAGGGTACAACTTTGTTAGTTCCTTGTTTTCAGTAATTGTATCAACATTTAAATATTTAGATAAATTCTTCTAGATATGAAAGTTTAAATTAAGTTCCAGAACCATAATATTTTTATTTATTATTATTATTTTTAAAATTTTTTTTACATCATTGTTCATTTTTAAACTATTTGCCTCCCCCCACCCCCTCAGGTGTAGTCTGGTCCCCATAGAGTTTCCTTCATCAATGCACCCACCAGTGCACCATTACCTCAGTCCCCTGGACTCCTCCCTTCCTCCCTCTGCTCCCTCCCTTCTCCTCCCTTGTAGTATGTCTATGGTTTATAATTGTCTGTTTTTGCTTTGTTGTGCTTTGTACTGTTATTATTTTTTTACACTGATGTCTTATTTGGTTCCCCTATATTCCTGCTATAAGCGAAACCATCTGTATTTTTCTTTTTCCTTCTGGCTTATTTCACTAAGGATAATTCCTTCTAGTTCCATCCATGTTGCTGTGAATAGCATGAGTTTATCTTTTTTGATTGCTGAATAATATTCCATTGTGTATATATGCCACATCTTCTTCTAATATGCCATTGTGTATATATGCCACATCATTCCATTGTGTATATATGCCACATTGTGTATATATGCCACATTGTGTATATATGCCAGATCCAGTCATCTGTTTTTGGGCATTTGGGTTGTTTCCAGGTTTTACGTATTATAAATAGTGCTGCAATAAACATAGGGGTACAGGTGTTTTTTTGAATCAGTGTTTTTGAGTCCTCTGGGTAGATCCCTAGGAGTGGAACTGCCAGGTCATATGGTAGCTCAATTTTTAGTAGACTGAGGAACCTCCAGTCAGCTTTCCATAGTGCAGAACCATAATATTGAAATAGATTTTTTGTACTCTGCCTATAGATAGTTTCTAATGGTGATGAACAACTGGAAAAAGCCATGGAGGAGATTTTGAGAGATTCTGAGAAAGGGCAAAGCAGTCTTGTTGAAGGTCAAAGTTCCAGTGAGATTTCAGATCATTCATTTGGAGATGTTTCAGCCAGCCAAACAAATAAGCCATCCCTTCAGTTGATTTTGGATCCATCAAATACAGGTACTGTATTGCATTCTTAGAAAACATACAGAAATGGGATAAAGTGATAATGAGAATTTTAAGATCAAAATTAAAAACTCCTATTAGTTTTTTTTCCTAAGATCATAGTTACTGGTTTTGAGTTCTGGTTGAAAGTTTCCATTTTGTACTTGTAGCTCTACAAATAAGGACTCTCTGGGTCCTTATTTTACCCCCAGTACTACTTGACCTATGAATACTTACTGAACAAATGAAAAGATTCCCGGGCATTAGAGACTAGTGTAATGAACACCATCTTTTATATGATTGCCTTTTTATTCAGTTTGACTATAGTTATTCTGAATTATAATTTGTGAAAACTCAAAGTAAATTGACTTGTCAGCTCCAGTGTATTAAATGATAAATGCATTAATGAATAAATGGGATTTGTAGTAGGTGTGTCAACTTATTAATCAGAATGCTCTTGGGTGCAAGTAAAACAAAACCAATCTAGCAGCTTCCCTGATGGCGCAAGGGGTTAAACACAACACCGTGAAGCTATCTGCAGCCTTTGCAATGTGAGTTAGATCCCAGCCAGCCAGGGAGGTGGCCCACATGGCACAGGGACCTCTCCTGTCTCGCCCATGCTCCCCTCAGCAGTGTATTTTCAGTCAGTCTGCCTGTTCTGTTCCCCACTCTGTCTCTGGTGAATCTTCTCACCACCCTACCTCTGGACTATACCCCAGTTCTTTTATGCAAAGATAAATAAATCTTTAAAAAAAAAAAAAGAAAAAAAACCATAAAAAACAAAACCAATATTCAAGATTCTGTTAATACTTTTTGGTTAACTACTCAGCTTTGATCTCCATGTCACATTTTTATTAACTGGCTTCCCCTAATGTGGCTACAGTAGTTACCAGTAGGAATTGATAAGTAGTGCTAGGTTATTTGTTCATGCCTGGTGGCAGAGAGATAGGTTATGTTCTTTTATCCATTCAACAAACATTGTGAGGTTTGCTATGATTGTACCAACTGAACCACTTTCTACTGAGTAGGGGAATGGCAGAACTGTTAGGTGTAGGCCTCAGTTACTTTCACACCCCTCAGTAACTCACTGACAGAGGGGATCAGATTCTCTTATTGACTTAGGACACTCATGACTCATTTCTGAATATTGGTATAGGAAAATTATATAGACCAAAGTGTTACACAGTGGGGCCATGATAAAGTATTTGTTTGGGATGTAATCACAATTGGTATGGCAAGGATAATTCATCAACAGAAAAATCTGTGAGTATGATTTGCCATAAAAGGTGGTAAAATGAGAAAAAAATACATTAATACGGGATACACATTAGATACAAGTCAAGATCTGTGTTACGTACACATGTGTAAAGTTCTTGGTGAACTAAGAATGGAAGGAAACTTACTTTACTAGGTAAAAGATATCTATCAAAAATCTTATGTTGTATTTTATCCCGCAATTCCAGGTGCATTGCCATTATAATGCATCTAAAAAGGGACAATTAAGATACAATTATTATCACCATAGCATTTTTCATTTTGTAGAATCCAGCAAAGCAAGATGACAGGAAAAATAAATGAAGTGTGATAATTAGAAAGAGAAAAAAGGTTATGATTTGTAAAATGACTTTAGTGATAATTCCAAATTTTCAATTATTTTTATGAACTGATTCTAAAATAGATCTGAACAAGTAGAGGTACATAGGTAGATAAGATAATTTTGAAAAAGAACACCAGATGTTTGATGTACTACAAAGTTTCAGAGGATAACCAGTATAGTATTACTATGGTACTGACTTATAATAGAAATGGGTCGCTAGAAAAGGATGCCAGGGAGAGACTTGTACATAAGGGAATTTAGTATAGGACAGAATTGGCTCCACAAATTAATGGAGGAATTTATGAATATTCAATATGCAGTAAAAAACAAATATTCAGTAAATATTATTGAGGCAATTGTTTCCTTGAGCGAAATAAATTAAAATTAGATCTTTGACTTACATTATACCGAAAATTTCCTCCTAGTGAATTAATAATTTCCTCCTAGTGAATTAAGTCATAATAATTAAATATTAAAATTAATTAACATTAATTAAATGTGAAAAATCAACTTATAAGAAGAGACTATTGGATAATATTTTTGTGGTTGACAGAATGGGAACAGTCAAAGCACAAAAGCAAAGGTGGTTATAACTTAATATGGAAAAACAGAACTTGGGGTGTCAGTACATAGTTGTCCTCAGGGAAAATTTAAATTCGAGGGGACTTGACACATTGAGGAGAGACAAAGACACTTGGGAGAGACATGTGGGTCAGAGACACTTGAGGAAGCTGACAATGGCAGTTATTATCTTGATTTGTATTTTGATTTTGCTCCTTTTGTCCCAGACTTGCCTGGCCCTTTTGCCCCCTTTCTCTAGTTCCCTGCCAGAAGGTGCCTTAGACTTGGGGCAAGCTTTTGGACTTCAGCATCAAGATATTTGAAAGTACAAGTTGTCCAATTCCAGAGCTCTAACTTAAGATCTAGGCTGAATATCAACCAAAAAAAAAAAAAAGAAAAAAAAAAGATAAAAAAGCAAAAGAAAAAACACAACCCTAGATTTTGTTTGCAATTTTTCATTGTTTTTTGAGTAATATGCAAAATTATACTGTACAATTTTACATTAACTTTTGAGTTTTTTTTTTCTTCAGAAATTTCTACACCCAGACCATCTTCTCCAAGTGGATTGCCTGAAGAAGATAGCGTTTTATTTAACAAACTGACCTATTTAGGATGTATGAAGGTTTCTTCCCCACGTAATGAAGTGGAGGCTTTACGGGCAATGGCAACTATGAAATCTTCCAGTCAGTATCCCTTTCCTGTTACACTGTATGTGCCAAATGTTCCAGAAGGTTCAGTGAGGTAGGCTCTGAATCTTACTTTCCCTTGTACATGTATTAAATTTTTTGGATGGTGGTGAGGATGTTTTTTACATATCAAACTTAGGACTTAGTATAAATTCACTTTTACTGTGCAGGCAAGTAAGGTAAATGTTTAGGCTTAGATGGTGTTTCTTATTTGCAAGGGTATTTGCAAAATTATGCTTAGAATATTACAAGTGGAAATATAACTGTAAAAGTACTATGTTTCTCTTTTCTGAAGGCATATAAAAACCTGCCTTCACCTTATAATTTAACAATGTTTTAAAAAAACCTATAGTGAGCTCTAAATATTAGGTTCTTTCCATCAGATTGGAAAGACACAAAATGACTTTTTCTCTCAAGCTTAATTAGGAATAATATTTAATGTCATCTGAACTCTGAATTTCTTCAAATATAAATCAGATAATATTATTCTCCTAGAGTGAACCCTCCAGTGGCCTGTTATCATACTTACGATTATATTCAAAATCTTTACCATTTCTGAGCACTGAGGACCTGCTGGATCCAACTCCAAGTCCCTTCCTCCCTCCTTTTCTCGTTATAGTCTTATTCATTCTCCCCTCTCCCTCCTTCCCCCTACTACATTCTACTTTATCCTGTTCCATTCTAGTCATTCCAGTATCTGCTTTTTCAAACAGTCAGGAGTCCTGCCTATCGGTTATTTTTCCAGACTCAGGTCCTTTTCCAGACTCAGGTCCTTTGCCTAAACAATATTTTTCTAGGTTTTCAATGACTTTTCCACTTCTTTTCAGTTCAGAAACAGTTTATCAAGCAAAGAGCCTCCTTTGATCACATCATATAACTATTCCTCTTTTTTGTCTTATTGGGACTTATTCTTTTTTAATATAGCACTTTTCCTTCACTTGCTATTGCATCATATATTTATTTGCTTATTTGTTTATTGTCTTTCTTCCTTACTAGACTATAAACTTCAAGGGAGCAGTTTCTTTGTATTTTTTTCCTGCTACAGCTTCAGTGTTCAGAGCAGTATCTTTTCCATAGCAGGGTGTCAATATGTATTTGCTAAATGAAGACATAAATAGACCACTTCTAGGAAAGGTTGAATGTGTCTTGATTTTGCAACATTCCCGGAAAATTGATTTAATCCTTTGAAAACTGTTTCTGATTTACCTCATTCTCTGAATAGAATGTAAAATTAGCTAAGTGCTATGTACCAACATAAAAGCTATATAAATTTACAAGATTTTGGTAAAAAGTTCTTAAATTTTGCAGGAAAGCGTTTTGTAGATGTTGTTTATATGGTATTTCCTAAAAAGGTCAAAATACCTTTTAATGTTATCTGTTGAGTCAAAGTACCAAACACTCAGAACTAGAATTCTGAGAGTTTATTTTTAGCCACAACGTAGGAACTCATAGAAATGTAAACTTAGGGCCTCCCTGATGGTGCACGGATTGAGCACAGCACAGCGGGTTGAGCATGGCGCTCGGAAGCTGTCTGCAGTCTCTGCAGCACAGGTTCGATTCCCATCTGGCCAGGGAGATACCCACATGCGCAGCAGACCTCTCCTGTCTTGCCCGCTGCTCCCCTCAGCAGTGTATTTCGGTCTGTCTGCCTGTTCTGCTCCCCGCTCTCTCTCTGGTGAATCCTCTCACCCTCCTGCGCCTCTGGCCTTACCCCAGCTCTTGTATAAATAAATAAATTTTTTTAAAAAAAGTAAACTTATTTGTGTTTGTTACTAAGGATGAGAGGTATGACAGAGACTTAGTGTTTTGATTTGCCTCTTTATTCCTAGACAGTATCCCTCGGTTTCATAGTTTGAGATCCTTAAGGAATCTTGATTCTCTAGATTGATGTTGGTCTTAGAATTTGTTTCGGGAAAGGCAGAGAATTATTTGCTCCTAAATCCCATACACTTATTTTACCTCTTATATTAAGTTGGTGAGTTTATCTTTGGAATCTCTGTAACCTATTTTTGGAAGTAAAAGAGATCTTGGTTGAACAATGACCTAGGGCTTAAATAAACTTACAGGTCTGCTCTAAGCAGAAATGTACTCTCCAGGATGGTCTCTGTTGTTCTGTGCCGGGATTTCTTTTTCTTTTTCTTTTTCTTTTTGATACTTCAGTGATAACCATTTTATTTTCTTCCATAAATATTTTATCTAGGTAAATAGTATGCATTTCTGGAACATAAGTTTATTGTAATTTTTTATGTGTATACTTTGAAGAATCTTCTAAATGACTCCAGGCACTATATGTACAAAAATATAAAAGTATTTTATATATATATATATATATACATAATATATTAGCACACACATATATACCTAAATATATATGTATATTTGTATGTATGTATGTATGTATGTATGTACTGGAATTTCTTTTGCCATAACAGAACAAGACTGATATTTAGGGATGGGTGATACAGATGTTATCAGGCACTTTGGGAAAAAGTGATTTGGATCATAGGAAATTGAAAAATGAAGTAATTTTCAAAAGAAGGTGAAGAATTTGTGTTTGTTCATACATATGTATGCATACTTCATATGTACATACACATATATGAAGTAAGAATGTGAAGATAATTTTTCTTGCATTATTAGTAACAGTTTTTTGTGTGATTTTTAAGGTAATTATATGTCATATATTGGCACAAAAATTTGCTTTTTTCCTTTATGATTAATATTTAATTTTTCATCACTGTTTTGCAGAATCATCGATCAATCCAGAAATAAGGAGATAGCTTCTTTTCCAATCTATAAGGTGTTATTCTGTGCACGAGGACATGATGGAACAACAGAGAGCAATTGCTTTGCATTTACAGAGAGTTCTCATGGTGCAGAAGAATTTCAGATACATGTTTTCTCTTGTGAAATTAAAGAGGCAGTAAGTATAATATATTATAGTGATTTGCTGTAGAGATGACTTAGAGTTATATTTTGGAATCCTAATTACACTATCATATAAATTAGTATGTATGACCATGTGCCATTTCATAAATTTAGAGAATATTTCTAAAGGGAATTTTAATATTTGTAATGACATAGAACTGAATATGGAAAGTTAATTCTGATAACTCTGTGCACTAACTTGGTATTGCAGTTAGGATGTTCTCAGCCTGGCAGATATAATATGCTGTCCTCTTACTCCGTCATGGTGCCAATTGCTTGGGCTCTGAAAAGAGAAATGTTTGTGTACCTCTCATTATTTTGTAATTTTAAAAAGCGCCTAAATAACAATACCTGCTTTTCTGTTGCGCCTAAATAGTTGCATATTGCTTTCACTTAGATATTACACTAAAATGGTTTCATAGACCTCTATAGTTTTCACTGGTGATTGTTATGTGCATTCTCTGAGGTTCACTTTTATTCTCTAGAACTGGCCTAGTTAAAAATACAATTCTCAGCATTCAGGGGAAAAAATATGCCAGGTTAAGGCATTATTATTACTGGGGTTTTTCAGGTAAGACCACAACCGTAATATTGGCAAATCTTCCTGAGGAAAAATCAGGAAACCTAAAACATATTTCTGGGACTTTCTGTCTTAGCTGTGCACCTGGGGAATTGCTTCTAACCAAAATAAATAAATAAATAAATAAAAGAATGAATGAATGAATGAATGAATGAGGGGGGTAGGCACGGGTTATAACAATGGTTTCTACCACATGGATGTGGGTCAGTGGTTAGCAGCTTAAACTGATTATAATCCAGCTTATACATTAAATAATCCAGTTTCATATTTTCTGTGTTCATTTCCCATGTAATCCCATATCTTTAATAATGCCTTATTTCAATGATAAAAGAAAAATCCACATGTTCATATACAGCAGGGAAATCAACCTGTAGTCCTTGGAGATACCAGTAAGTTTTTCTTAGCAGTTATTAACTGCTCTTCATTCTTAAACTGGGGAAGTAGTTCAGAATCAAAAGGATTGTTAAATACATGGAAAAATTGTCTTCTCTATCTGTTGAATTTCCCCAAATTAAAAATAAATTTCACTATTAGAACTTTAGTACTTGCGAACATTTCAAAGGCATTAATGAAAGGGTTTGGATAACTGGTTATGGTCTTAGCTATATTTGCTTTTGGAAATACAAATTTTTTTTTATATATACTTTACATCATTCTTCCTTTTGTACAATATATGCTTTGTCTTCTCAGGTGTAGTCCCCATATGATTTCCACCACAATTCACCCATGAACCATCACCTTAGTCCCCTGTGCTCTTTCCTCCCCTGTTTTTATCCCTCTCCCTCCCCCATCCCCTGCAGGGTATCTCTGATTTATAGTCGCCTGTTAATTTTGTTTTTTAATTTATTATAATTATTTTTTCCCAGTCCCTTATTTGGTTCTCCTACATTCCTTGTAAAAGTGAAACCATATGATATTTTTCTTTTTGCCCTGGCTTGTTTCACTGAGCATAATCCCTTCCAGTTCTATCCATGTTGCTGTGAATGGCATGAGTTTATCTTTTTTTGATTGCTGAATAATATTCCACTGTGTGTGTATGTGTGTGTGTACATACCCACACATCCACCCACTCACACACACACCACATCTTATTGATCCAGTCATCTATTTTTGAGCATTTGGGTTGTTTCCATATCTTACCTAATGTAAATAGTGCTGCAATAAATATATCCTTTAATTAATTTTTTTTGTGTCCTTTAGGTAGATTCCTAGGAGTGGAATTGCTGGGTCATAGGAAGCTCCATTTTTAGTAGTTTGAGGAACCTTCACACAGCTTTCCATAGTGGTTGTACCAGTTTGCATTCCCACCAGCGGTGTAGGAGAGTTCCTTTTTCTCTACACCCTTGCCAACATTTGTTGTTTGCTGTTTTTTTTTTTTTTTTTTTTTTTTTTAACATGAACCATACTCACTGGTGTAAGGTGGTATCTCAATTTGGTTTTGATTTACATTTCCCTGATTACAAGTGATGTTGAACATTTTTTCATACACCTGTTGGCCATTTGCATTTTCCTCTTTCGAGAAGTATCTTTTTAGCTCTTGTGTCCATATTTTGACTGAATTTATTATTTTTGTTGAGTTGTGTCAGCTCTGTGTAGATCTTGTGATCAGTCTGTTATCAGTAGTATTTTGTAAAAAAATTTTCTCCCAATCAGTAGGGTGTCTTTTTGTTTTGGTTAATGTCTCTTTTGCTTTACAGAAGCTTTTTAATTTGATGTAGTCCCAGCTGTTTATCTTTTCCTCACTTTCTTTGCTTTGGGGGATGTGTCTTTAAAGATGTTACTGAGATGTATATCATGTAGTGTTTTGCCTATATTTTCTTATATATATTTTATGGTTTCAGGTCTTATGTCCAATTCTTTTATCCATTTTGAGTTGGTTTTAGTGCAGTGTGAGGTAGTAGTCTAGTTTCATTATTTTGCATGTAGAAGTCCAGTTCATTCAGTACCACTTACTGAACAAACTGACCTTGTTCCATTGCATATTCTTTGCTCCTTTGTCAAAAAATTAATTATCCACAAATATGTGGGTTTATTTCTGTGTTTTCTATTTGATTCCATTGGTCTCTGTGTCTGCTTCTGTTCCAGTTTTAATTATTATGGCTTAGTATTCTAGTTTGAAGTCTAGGAGTGTGATACCTCCTTTCTCCTTCTTTTTAGTCAGGAGAGCTTTCGCTATTTGAGGTTTTTTTGTGATTTGGAAATACAAATTTTCAGCAGAAATATAAAGGGCAGCAATTTCTCTATTTTCTGTTTACCATGAAACAAATAAACCATTGTAGTAACATGAGTTCTGAGAGTTTATTTTTGACCACAGCATGGGAATTCATACAAAAATACAGACTGCTGTGTGGTTGATACTAAGCATGAGGGCTATGCCAATTTTTGTGTCCTGATGATTAATTTTATTTACAAAATGGACATGTGCAGTTACATATAATTAATATTGTAACCAACATGGATTCTTTCACTGAAAACCTATGCTTAACAAAAATCAAATTCAGTTTTTTTAGTTAGTTCTGAATCTATTTTATTCTAACATTTCCCATGTGTGAGTACATATGTGTATACGTATATGTATGTGTGTCTGTGTACTCTTTCAAAAGGTGTAATAGAGTGAATGAGTACAGGTGTGTCCGGCACATATAAATAAGTTGAAAGAACATGTGTGTGTTTGTGAATGAGGGCATCTATTTCTGATCCTTACAACTCCACTACAGAGGTGGAAAAGCAGATGGTAGAGTCCTGGCATTTCATGTTGGCAGCCATCAATTCACATACCTGTGTGGTTTCCGGATAATTGACATTCAACACCAAGGAAATGAACTTTGAAGAACTGGAGAACCTGCTGCTTGGAGAAGTGGAAACATTGCGGCAAATGGAAATTGAAAGAGATCTGGCTCCAAGCATTTTCCATAACTAATGGTAAGAAACTCTTTCCTGGTGTCAATAGGTGGGGGAAATATTTGTCATTTTTAAGAACTTTAACAGTAGGTAATCAGTGCACCAAACTGTGAGGAATTCTTGGCCTGATCATTTTGGATATGGTAGTTTCTCCTGTATTTCTAGAGAGGGTGTTTGGAACATTGCAAGTTGTGAGAAAGTGATGTCCTTTTATTATTTAACTTTTTTAGAGTACACTTTTCAGAGGTGTTACATTGCGAGGCATTGGTGGTTCATTGTTTGAAGGAGAACTATATCATTATTAAATTTCATTACAAGAAACAATTTCTTTTTTTTAAGATTTATTTATTTATTTATTTATTTATTTATTTATTTATTTATTTATTTATTTATTTATTTATTTAAGCACTGGGTACAGTCAGAAGCACGGAAGGGTGAGAGAATTCACCAGAGCCAGAGCAGGGAGCAGAACAGGCAGACTGACGAAATACACTGCTGAGGGGAGCAGCGGACACTGCAGGAGAGGTCTATGCGCCATGTGGGACCCTCGCTGGCCAGCTGGGGTTCAAATCGGTGCTGCAGAGGCTGCAGGCAGCTTCGCAGTCCAGGACTCAACCGCTGCGCCACTGGGGAAGCCCACAAGAAACAATTTCTAAGTAAAGAATAATCCAGTAGAAATATAAAACTCAGACCAGGCACTAAATGCTAAGCATTTACTTGTTACGCATAACATCTCTGTAGCATAAATAATATTTATTTAGACTAGTGATCTTGTGTTCCACTTTACCTAGAGCAGTCCTAGTTTATTCCTGTTGTCAATGTATACTGTCTTATTAATAGGACTCCATTTTATTATCAAAAGTTTCTGGTCTGGGTGACAAATTGTATGGTTACCCTTTGTTTATCCCAGGGCTAACAGGATAGAAATTATAGAGCTGTGTTTCAAGTGGAAGATGCTGACATTGAAGACCTATGTAATTTTTAGTAATAATTTCCTGTTGCTTAAATATTATATATATATATTTATCTTGCAATTATGCTCTGTGAATGGGTTTATTGAACACACAGTTCGCATCCAGCTACCTTTGTGTTTTCCCATGCCTTTCCATTAGATGTCTAACATCATTATCTCTTCCCTCAAAAAAATCATTACCCTTTAATTAACCTTTCCCCCTTTAGTGCATTTACTAATTGTCTGGCTAGCTGGTGCCCATAATTTTCTTGTTCTGTGGTGCATAGACAACTTTAGTCCTTAGTAGTTGGATTCCTCTTGATGGGTCCATACAGGTGGCACAGATAGCTCAGGAATAGGTGACATTATTTTTGCTTAAATATGCTTTATACAGCAGCATTGCTGAGTTTTATATTTTTGTTTGCAGGGTTCCTGGATGAGATATGAAGAAGTTTGTCAGTTAAAGACAAGAAGATATCTTCTCTTCTCAAGCAGGAGTAGCAGTCATGGCTGCCACTGCTGTCACTGTGATGCTCTTATTCTGCCCAAAGTCCAATAAGAA